ATGACCGCTCTCTACTCGATGTCCATGGTCACAGCCAATTTAGCCATATTTCTCACCAGAAATTTAACTATTTCAACTATCGTACAGGTAAGCCCTTTGTAGATACTAAATTGTTTTGAAAAAAGTTAGCTTGTATTCATTTTTAAGCTTATTTTCATTATGACAAGATGATATGCTTATGTATGTGTGCATGTGGGTGTTTCCGTCACAGGTGTGTATGTTTGTGTTAGTATGTGTTACATGATGTAGGTGTGCATGTGCATTTTTGTATTTGTGTGTATATTTGTATTTATATGAATCTTAATGTCCGTATGTGTATGTTCGTATGTTTGTATGCTAGTTAACGTGCTAGTTCATTTGCACACTTTCGCGTGTGTCTGCTTGTGTGTGCCCCGCATGCGTTGGCCGGTATGTGTCTGCATGTGTTTGTTGCTTTTTCTGACTTCCCGGCATTCAGGAAACAACCATTTGATTAAGCGTTCAAAGTGAAAGTCAAAATCTCTTCCAAATTTCACTGTTTGTGAAACTAGTGTTCGAGCAGTAGTAAAATTACATTGCAGACGAAAGTATCGGTGTATGTTAGTCTAATTGTTGTTGCAAGCTACTCTTATAATTATTATTTATTACTGTGGCGCAGCAAAGCCTATCGAGGAATATTTCTACGGCAGATTACTTTAACAGCAACTACTTCCGATGAACCAGCAAATCAGCCCAACAAACAAATCTGCGTCTTACGGAACAACTGGATTAAGTGATTTTATAGAAGTATGATGTATACCAAATTTTCAGAACTTATGGCATTTTTTTATCAGAACTGTTAGCGAGAGCTTTTTGGAAAAAATCGGCAAAGTGCACTGGGGTTGCAACACGGACAGAATATTTAAATGTCTGAATTATTACACTGAAAATTACAGTCTTTCTCCTTCCTTCCTCTCCGTCTTCCATCTAACCTGCCGTCTTCTTCTTCCATTATTAGGCTAGTAGCTAGCCACTTCTATCCATCAAAACACCACCGTAAAGACTGTTTATCAATATTGCCTAATAATATTCTTTTTATCATCCTGACCTCCTTATTCCTGGTCTCATTCCAGCTCTATTTTTACTTCTGCTTTTATTTTTTTAAACAATTCAGTTACAGTTTTGCAAATGCAGTCATTCGTTTTCGTTTGGTTTCTTGAACACCACATGTGAAAAAATGCTTTACATTTTTCCAGTTCTTTGAAATTAATTAAAAATATTTAGCATAAATTTTCTTGTTGTTATTGTTGACATGTTATTTTTTTC